CCATGATCTTTACTACACCCATGTAATCAGGATCTATTACTCCAGGATGTACCTGTAGACCTTTCAAGGCCGCAGATGATCTTCCTATAAGCAGGCCTACTGTTCCAGTCTCAAGGGGTCCCTTAAAATCAGTGTCAACGAGCTGGACCCCCATTCTGGGAGTTAATACGAGTCTGGTGGTGGAGCATAAGTCCAGCCTCGCGGAGCCTGTAGTGGCTCTCCTCCGTCTCTCAGATGTCGAAGAGAGGGCCAGGTTCCGGGACTCTGCTCCTGGTTCTGATCCTCCATGGCCCCATATATTTGTGGGCCCTGGGGTCGTGGGCCCCGTTGTCCATTTTTTGGACGAGCTCCTCCATACCCCTGAACAAGAGGCTGTCCATTGATGTCTTTTACTGATCTACAATCCTTAGCCCAATGGTTTCCTTTTCTACATCTAGGGCATAAGCCAGGTTGCTTAGGGCGCGGGGTAGAATAATTGACTGTAGTATTTCCTCCTTCTGGGTCATTGCCTTTTCAAATGCCCTTTCTTGCTGCATTTAAAGCAAGCTCCTGAACTTCCGCCTTTCTTAGTTAATTGCATCACAGCAGCTGCTAGGCCAGCATTTGTCAGTGGGCCCCCTAACTCCCTTCATCCACACTTCAAGGCCTTTACCTTTATATGGAGTTATTGCAGCCCTATACTCCTTTGTACATTGTTAAAAAATCAGCTTTTTGATCAAAGGCATAGCAGCACCTGGATCCCCAAACACTTGCCCTGCAGATTCTACCATTCTTGCCACAAAGTCTGAAAAGGGTTCCATAGGACCTTGTAATATCTTTGTAAGATTTCCACTGACCTCACCTCTGTTGGGCAGAGACCTCCAAGCCCTAATGGCTATTTGGTTAATCTGATCATACACTTGAGGGGGGTATCCTGTTTGTTGCTGTGCAAAACATCCTTGACTAAGAAGGGTGTCCACATCCCAGGCTGGATTACCAGCCACACGGTTAGCCGCACCTTGATCATTGGCAAATTCAATTTGGAAAGCTCTCCAATCCAAATATTGTCCTGGCGATAAACAAGCTCTTACCAAATTTATCCAGTCGCCAAGTGTCATACAGAAGCGATTGAGTGCTTCTACCTGAGCAACTGTAAAAGCTGCCATCACCCCATAGGTGAGCACCGACTCTGCCAGAGCCTTGACTATTTTAAAGTCGAGTGGCTCATGATGTCTCTGTTGGTTACCATCCATGAAAACTGGATAAGCCAGTGGTCGAGCAATCCGAAACTCAGTGCGAACAGTACACCACACTTCTGGACAGAAGGTGGAGCAACCAGGAACTCTTACTTCCTCTTGTGAACTGTAGGGGTAGGGAGCAGTAGGGCGGTGCCCTTGCTTTACAGCCGCCATTTTAGGGCGCTGTTTTTCTGG